AAGGCGCCAAAGTTACCAGCATCTGTACCGGGGTGTTGCCTTTGAAGGCTGATGACTAGGTCTTGTGTGTCAGAGCAAGACAGGGTGGGCTGTAAATCCTCCAGTCTTACGCTGTCAAGAAAGAGGCCTCTCCTCCCGCCTCTCTCTCCATTTTACCCACTTTATTCAGCCAGATCCTGTTTTTGATATATATATATTTTTTAAGATTTATTTTATTTTTTATTTATTTATACAAGCACTGGGTACAGTCAGAAGCGCAGGAGGGTGAGAGAATTCACCAGAGCCAGAGCGGGGAGCAGAGCAGGCAGAAGGACCGAAGTACACTGCTGAGGGGAGCAGCAGGCGGCAGGAGAGGTCTGCGCGCCATGTGGGACCCTCCTCGGGTGGCCGGGGAGCAGCCGGGGATCGAACTGGCGCTGCAGAGGCTGCGGGCAGCTTTGCAACCCAGCGCTCAACTGCTGTGCCACTGGGGAGGCCCTGTTTTTGATATTTTTAAATTAAGCTATATTTTAGAATAGATTTAGATTTGCAGAAGAGTGGCAAAGATAGACTAGAAAATGCTCATATACCAACACCCAGCTTCCCCTACACATCTACATTACTATGGTTGGTTCATTTGTCTCAACTAGTGAACCAATAATAACATATGATTATTAAATAATGTCTATATATTTTAGTCATACTTTATTCGTTTTTCCCTGTTCTGTCCAGGATCCTTCTATGACACCGTGTTATGTGTCGTCATGTTTCTGTAGACAGTTCTAGCTGTGAATGTTTCCAGACTTCCCTTGTTTTCCTGATGTTGGCAGTTTAGGAGAGCATTGGTCAAGTATTTTGTAAGACATGCTGCGATTTGGGTTTGTCTGATGTTTTCTCTTGATTAGACTGGGGTTATCCATTTTGGGGAGGAGTTGTCAAAGGTGAAGTGCCATTTCCAACTTGTCCTATTGTTAGGGGGAAAAGGATGTCCTAAAGCTAATTCCATACAGGCTTTGTGGACTCCACCCCCACCCCAGGCCAAAGCCAAAGACACTGGGAACTCCAAATCCCATCACCACCAAAGGGAAGGTGGCTGGGACCTGAGGGTGGGTTAAGCAGCCAGGTTGGTATAAAGCCAGACACGTGGGCTTTGGAGGGGTCCCCCATTTTGGCTCTCTGCCAGCTCGCAGTGACCGGCCAGCTCTGAGAGTGCCTTTGGGTTTCCAGGTCGGCGGATCGGGTAGGACGCATTAAAGACTTTATTTACCTATTTTCTCCCTGAGTTGTACATTTCCTTAATTCCCTTTCCCTTATAAATAAACCTTTTATTAACCTTTTGTGTGTGCCTGCAGTGGCGTATTAATAAGTCCCTTGTAAGCACACGGGTGAGGACCCACAGCCAGGAACCCGTTTTTTATCGGGGCTGCCCTATAACACTAGCGGGTGTTTACCGCTGACGTGGCTCATGACTGTGGACGGCCACCCTGGCCACACAGCCGTGGTGTTGTCAGGTCTCTCCCCTGGAAGCTGCTTTGTCTCTATCTCCATACTGTTCTCTTTGGATGGAAGTCACTATGTGCAGCCCGCACATAAGGAGTGAGGAGTTACGCTCGACAATACTTTGGATGTGATTGGAGTTTGTGTGCATAGGAGATGTATTCAGTTTTCCCCAGGTTTTTACTTAGTCATCTGTGTCAGTTTGGAGTCAGGGATGTTTATAGTATACTTATAATTCATTATCATTTTTTTCCATTTTTAATTTCTTGCTCAGATTAATCCATATTTAACCATCGGAAGCTCTTTCGGTTGACTCCTAAATCCCTATGACCTACCCAACTTGTGTATCTGTGTGTGTTTCTGACAAAAAATGCTCCAGCCTCATCTTGTATATTCCCTGCTCTACTCCAGAAACAGCCATTTCTTTAAGGAGCTCTGTCCTTTTATTGAGGAATTGTATTAGAAACCAAGACATGAGTGTTCTGTGTCATCCAATTAAAAAAAAAAAACAAACACAAATATATATATATTTTTTTAAAACCCAGCAATGAGAAAGCCATATGCCCTGACAGAGAATAGCTGGATAGGTTGGGGCCCCTGGGAGCCCCTCCATGCACACGGTGAGGGACACAAGCAGAGAGGGCCCCACACCACACCCCAGAGACACTGCTATCAGGCAACTCAATCTGTTTTAAGACCTCTCTAAAATCACAGGTGAGTTCCTCTTCTAGACTGGGTTACTTTTGATTTTCTACATTTAACAATGAGATAGAAATTTCAGAATGTGAACTCAAAGGATATGCCTGCTGATAGTTTATTTTCAAATCAAATGATGTTTTTTAAAAGTCAATATGCCATCCACAGTTGCATGAGATGTCTTCTTTGTTCAAACTTCCAATAGTTGTTTTAGAGGTGGGCAAATACAGAAGGGTTTTTCCTGCAGCCAGCTGACTTCTTTGAGTCCCTTTAATTACTTCATCTGGGCAGAAATAATGGGCCATGGTAACATGCAATTAAGATTATTTTACTTCATTGGAGAGAGGTTCAATGGGCAGACTCCTCCCTGGTCAATATTAAAGTAGTGAGCAATCATCCTCCATGCTACTCAGTCGTCACATCCCATCATCCCCTGCTTGTCTCGTCCTGCTAGGTCCTTAACACACCTTCCTCCTCCATCTGTACACTCAACTTCTTGTATTACTGAGAGAGTAGAAACCATCAGAAAAGGCCTTTCGTAAGCTGCCACCTGCTCCCCACCATCCTCCTACCGCAGATCTGGATCCCTATAGTCCCCCTTCCTTCTTAAGGCAACAGATGAAAAGTTGATGTTCTCCAATGCAAGTCTCCCTTAGTCACTAAATCTCATCCCCTCTCACCTATCAAAGTCCTCCTAGACAAAGGTCTCCATAATCTCCCTATGTCAACAATTTTTTCCTCTTTACTGGGTTATTCCTACCAGCATTAAAACACTGTCATTTCTCCCATATCAAAAGCTAAATAAACCCTTTAAAAACAAGCAAAAAATTATTTATGGTTAAGAAAAACATAGCACAGGGCCTCCCTGGTGGCGCAAGGGGTTAAAATGCAACCTATGAAGCTATCTGCAGCCTCTGCAGCAGGAGTTCGATCCCCAGCCAGGGAGATGCCCACATGGCACAAAAGACCTCTCCTGTCTGGCCCGCTGCTCCCCTCAGCGGTGTATTTCAGTCCGTCTGCCTGTTCTGTTCCCCACTCTGTCTCTGGTGAATCCTCTCACCTCCCACACCTCTGGCCTGTGCCCCAGCCCTTGTATGCATAAATAAATAAATCTTTAAAAAAAGAAAAAGAAAAACATAGCACAAAATTGACAGTCATAACCACTGATAAATGTACTGTTCTCTAGTGTTAATTATATTCACATTCTTGTGCAAACAATGGCCAGAACTTTCTTGCCTTGCACAATCGAAACTCTATACCTATTGAAAACAACTTCCGGTTCCCCCTGCCCCAGACCAAGGCAACCACCATTCTACTTTCTGTTTCTATGAATTTGACTACACTTGATACCTCATATAAGTATTGGGTATTGTGTGACTGGCTTAATTTTACTTAGCATAATGTCCTCAAGTTTGGTCCGTGTTGCAGCACATGTCAGAATTCCCTTCCTTTTGAAGGCTGCATATTTCTTTGAATTTTCACACCACATTTTGTTGATCCATTTATCTGTTAATGGATATTGTGGTTGCTCTGACAGTGACTATTGTGAATAATATTGCCATAAACATGACTGTAGAAATATCTCTTGGAGACCATGCTTTCCATTCTTTTGCATGAAGGTAGATTGTTTTTCATTTTCTTGAGGGGCCATCACACTTTTTGCCATAGTGGCTCTACCATTTCACATTCCTACCAACAGTGCACAAAGGTTCCAATTTTTCCCCCTCCTTGCCAACACTTGCAACTTTTCATTTACTTATTTAATTCATGCATTTTTATTGAGTAACATTGCATTAGAATGTTTCAAATACAAATACAAATTCAAATACAAATTTCGTGTGTGCATCATTAAAAATCAACATGGTATATATAGTACATGAAGTCTACTACTAAAAGTATGCCATTAGATCACCATGAGATCAGCCCCTTCTACCTGATTTACCCACCCTTCCTCACTTCCCTTCTTATAGCCACTAATTGGTCTTATAGTCTAAAAGTTTATTTTTGTTTTATCTAGTTCATCCAGTTGTTTACTTTTATACCTCAAATGAGTGAAATCATATGGTATTTTTCTTCCTCTGTCTTTCACTAAACATAATGCCTGCTAGATCCTCCCATATTGTTGCAAATGGCAGGATTTAATTTTTTTAAAATATAGCTAGACAGTATTCTGTTGCCTATGTATACACCACATATTCTTTATCCAACATTTTGTCAGTGGGCACTTACATGTTTTTTTTCACTCTTGGCTATTGTAAATAATGCCACACTAAAAATGGGGATGCATATATATTTTCAAATTAGTGTTTTTTTGTATTTCAGGAGAAATATTGAGAAGTGGGGTAATTGGATCACATGGAATTTCTGCTTTTTATTTTTTGAGAGTTCTCCAGGCTGCTTTCCGTAATGGCTGCACCAATCCACATTCCCACTAATGGTGTACAAGGGTTCCCTTCTCTTCATATCCTTCTCAACTTTTCTTGCCTTCTGGAAAATAGTCATTCTCAAAGGTGTGAAGTGGTATCTCATTGTGGTTTGATTTGCATCTCCCTGATAATAAGAGATGATGAGCATCCTTTCATGTGGCTATTGGTGATCTGCGAGCCTTCTTTGGAGAAGTGTCTGTTCAAAGTCTCCACCCATTTTTTAACAGCTGTTTGTTTTTTTATTGTTGAGCTTTATGAGTTCTTTGTATATTTTTGGATATTAAGTCCTTGCCTGACATAGGAGGTATAAATATCCTCACAAACTGTACTACACAGTGGTGGTAGTTAAAACAACTAGAGCATTTCCAGATTTTCTTTGACCAAATGGGCTCTCTCTTTCAGCTCAAGTCTCGGGTTCTCATGACTCCCTTAGCCCTCTCACCTCCACGGAGCAGGCCGGAACCCGACCTCAGCAACATCCCTCAGGACGCAGCCACCATCCCCAACCTGGTTGTCCCACAGGCCCTCAAAGGTAGGTCAGCAGGATGAATGTGGAGTCTGTGATGGGCTGCCCACCATGTAACCATTGCTCTGTGAACTAGAGCACTGCCATGGGGACAGCTTTAAGGAAGCAGTTAGTGTATTAGCTCAACAGCACATTAGACAATCAGATTATCTTGAGAATATGAAGTTAAGTGTCTCACAACTTGGATTATTTGAAACTTGATTTTCAATGTATTTTGGGTTCGGCTGGTGGCTCTGGGGTGGGACCAGAATCTGGTTTCTTTGGCCCAAATTTTTCATTTCGGAGCCAGGGTTTTTTGCACCAACAGTGAACCTACACACCTTAAAGAGTTCCCATCCCTGGGTTTTAACTTCCAGGGGTGCTAACCTCCTTTAGTCCCATTTGGTGTCCTCACATCCAATCTGAGTAGCATTGGCCCACTCTCTCTCACGGGGCATCCACCAACCAAAAATGCCATCATAAGAGAAACAGCGATCAGATGCTCCGCTTGCTCTCTCTCTCTCTCTCACACACACACACACACACACACACACACAGAGTTTCCCTTCATCCTACCCCACCTCCCACTCCTATTTCACTTAAATCCCTTCAGTTCCCCCCATGACTCTTAGATAAAGACCAAACAAACCAAAGGTGTTAATATGGGCAACAAGGCCCCACAGGCTCTGTCTCCCCATGATCCAGCCCACTGCTCGGCTGTTAGTCGCTGGGGCCACCACAAGGTCTTAGCATATACCCACCCCTCATCTGGGATGATCTGGCCTCTGGTCACCCCATGCCTTCCTTGTATCTCAGGCATCCCTCCCTCCAGAACACTGGCCAACAGTCCGGCCAGGCCCCCAAGGGGTCTCACAGCTCCACCCAGTGCTTCTCACAGCCAGTCTCCACCAGTTCTGTGATTCCCTGAGTAGGTGCTCCTCACATTCTAGCTCTGGGAAGCCAGGAGCCACCTTGATTTATTTGACCATTTTCTCTGTAGGACCTATCACAGTGCCTGGCATGAGGGTCCCTTAGGAATTAGATGTTTCTTAGTCATCTGGAATGAGAAGAGAAGCCATCTACTCAAGTGAAGAGCACAGGCCTCAACATCATGTCTGAATCCCAGTTGCATCACTAATTGTCAGCTTCACATGCAGCCATCTAATTACTTTAAATTCAGTCTCTTCATTAGTAAAATAATAATATTTAATTCCCAGATTTGTCTTGAGCATCAAATCACATGAAATATGTAAAGTGCCAGGAATATAATAGGTGCGCAGTAAAAACTAATTTTCTTCACCTTTGTTGTTACTGTTTAATCTTTCCAAAATCCTGGTCTCCTCTTTAAGTCTCTTCAGCACACCTTTGCTCTATTGGTCTGCAAGGTAACATGCTAATACTCTGGGGTTGGGACAGGGAAGATCTAAGAGGAGTCCTAAATGTATGGGAGAAAATATGACATTTATTAATATTTATTTTTATCTCATCCTTACAAAATTTCTATTACTTGGATGTGTTTTAAAATGCACACAATACATTAATACAGACAAGAATGTACATAAGCTACAGGCAAACACATTTCAGGCACATGCTCAAAAATGTTTTAATGATGGGATATATTACTTTAAAAGTGTGGGGACCTTTGGTTGGGCTCACCTAAGTGGGCTGATGAGTGTTTATTTTCTCTGGTGTTATAAATAGCATTCTCTTTAGAACTTCATTGAATATATAGTATCAGTATCTATATATACAGTATCATCATGGCCCACTTTCTCTCACGGGGCATCCACCAACCAAAAATGCTACTCTCTCACAGGCAAATGATACAGTATCATATTGATTTTTTTCTATTCACTAAGGTAAACAAAAAAATGGCAAACCTTAAGCATAGCTTAACAGCTCCTATGGAGGAGGGGAAAACTCTGTGCCCATGCTCAGCATGGAATTGCATTTACACACATGGCCCACATAGGCCTCCATAATTATCTACAATTCACATTTGAGTGCATCAGGAGGGGCCTACCTGTCCATCTGTTCCCAGATGGGTGACCCTCTTGTCCTACTAGTTGGGATGACTGTATCTTTTCCCTCTTCTTAATTTTGGGAAAATCAGTCCCAGTTTTGCACTTTTTGGATTTCCCAAGATCAGCGCCAAGAGGGCATGGCTGAGGCATCCCCCCAGTGCACAGTTGCTGCCCCCGGGCCTGATGTGCATCAATGCTGGGGGTCTGTGGGTCTCTGTCTCCACAGTCTGCCTCTACATCAACAAGCAGGCCAATGCGGGGCCATACTTGGAGAGGAGGAAGGTGCAGCAGCTCCCTGAGCACTTCGGGCCCGAGAGGCCATCAGCGGTCCTGCAGCAGGCAGTGCAAGCTTGCATCGACTGTGCTCACCAGCAGAAGCTGGTCTTCTCCCTGGTCAATCAGGGCTACGGGGGAGAGATGGTGTCAGGTAAGGTCCTGGGCAGGTTGTGTGAGGTGTGAGGATGGCTCTCCAAAGAGCAGAGCCATCATACTTAGTAGGCTTGGGGCAGAGTTGCTGTGGTCAGGGTGGGTCCTCTGTCAGCTGTACCAGCTCCAGTGCTGTTAGGCCTTGAGGAGAAGATGCTTCCAGACCTGAACCAGAAGACTAGACAACTGACTCCACACCCTGACTCCATAGCAACTAAAGAACTATAGCAACTGGTTCTTTAAAAACTTAAATCAGTTCATGCCTCTTTAACCTAGACCCTCAATGTCTCCCATGTCACTCTGAATAAAAATTCAAGTCCTTGCAAGGCCCTGTGTGCCCTGACCTGACCTTGGCTCTCTCTTGATCTCATGGTCACTTGTCCTGGGTCCCCCTGCTGCTCTGGCCATGGTGGTCTCCTTGCTGTTCTTCATGCGTCTTCTAGTCATGCTCCAGCTCAGGATCTTTGCACCTGCTGTTCTCTTTCTGGATTATACTTCCTCCAGCTATTGACATGACTTCTTCCTAGATTTCCTTTAGGTTTCAATAGCTCCTTATCAAAGCGCTCTTGATCTTGACCCTGATCACCCTGTCTGAAATATCAACCCTTGTCACTCTCTCCTGTCCTCTATGCCACTCCTTTCTCATAGCACTTATCACCATGTCAGGCAGTGGGGAAATCTCCTGTTCTCAAACCCACGTCTCCTGGCAGATTTTTTGCTTTAAACAAGAGCTTCAGAATCGGAGAAATTGCTTCTGTTAGTGTCATTGTCCTCCTCTAGTGTCAGCCCCAACACAACAGTTTCCATAAGGAGCAGAAGTTGCCATCATAAGTGAGAGGCAGAACTGGGAGCTCTGCCTCTGAATGTTTGCCTGCAGTCTCTTTCTGTCTTAGGGGAGGCTCCCTACACACAGATTGTCGCTACCTACCTTTAAGAGTCTTTGCAAGACGCCTTGACTCCAAGGAGACAGCCTGGCGTCTTTTCTGGTCCAGCATCAGGACACAACCTCCATATCACCATGGAGAAGAGAGATGTTCCCCAGCAGTGGGTGGTGCTGGTGACTGTTATCTCCTAAGAAAGGACTGGGGGGATGGGGAGTCTCTTGCAACTTCCTCGTGAAAAACCTAAGCAGGGGCATTGCATTTAACTCTAGGTCCCCAGGGCTTGAGGGTGGGGAGGGGGTCCAACACTGCTTCCTGCATTCGGATTGATCCAGCCTGCTTTCTGGAGCTCCCTTTTAGCAGGAAGCTGGATCTGACTTGCTGGTAATTGATTAAAAGAAATTTGACAAGGTCTGGTGCATGTTTCTGACCCAGGGTAACTTTTAAGAAACTTGAGCAGATGTGAGCAGAGGCAGGAGGAGGAAGCACTACACCAGGAGGAGGCAGGAGGGGAAGCCTGTTGACAGGCCGTTGGCTGCTCTTCTGGTTTCTGTCTCAGAGCTATGTTCTTGATCCTGGGCTGCCCCCGAGGTCAAAGGCCTTGTCCTTTTCCTTGCTAAATAGCAGGACTCAAGATGCGTATGGTGCTACTGTTACAGGACAGGAAGAGGGGCACCCTAGACCCCACAAACCTGCCTGCTCCAAACAGGTTCTGCCATCCGCCGCATCAACACAAAACATATGAGACTTTAATGGGAAGGAACTTTAATACAATTAGGAAACAATACAGAAAGGCAAAAAATAAAGTTTCTAAATCAAGTACCCAAAGTTACCCGTCCCCTCGTGGGTAAAAGTTAATCCAAATAGGACTGGCCCAGAGCAAGGCCCCAAAGCCTGCCACAGGTCTAAAGCATCTTCCAGTGGGACCCACAGAAAAAGATCAGAAACAACGAGACAAGTCTGGAGGGAAAAGAACAAAATCAAAAGCAAGACAAAAATCGCCATGGTCACCTCCCCACGGGCCTCTCACCCACATCTGTGTCACCCAGTCCACGACCAAAAGGCAAGTGCAGTTTCTTCACATGTCTCTCTGCTCCATGCGCCTCCTCCAGGTCTCCTTCTGGCTCCATCCTGCTTCCTTCCTTCCTCAGTCTCCTCTGCAGCTTCTTCTCTCTCTGCTCAGCATCACCCTCCTTTTAGATGGGGCAGGAAACCTGGAACCTCCCCCTCTTCCTGGAAACCACCCTGTTACACTATGAGAAAGCTTTTCCTGTGCTGGGTGCCCAGCCTCTTGATCAAATCCCTCTGACCAGGTTCTTTACCGCCCTTGACCCCTAAACAGGAAGAGCTGACCCTTGCTCCTTTCTTTTCCATTTTCCTTGCTTTCCTCAATCTCTTTCTGTGGCCTCAGGGGCCTTGGCGCCGGGGAGGAGGTCCTTCAGTGCCTGGCACCAATGCAGGAGAGGGGAGAGCCTTGCCAAGTGTCCTTTGGCTGAGGGATTCCTAGGACAGCCAGACCTGAGCAGTTGGTCTTAGTGTCCTGGAGAATACAGTAGCACCAGGGGCTGCTCAGGCCACCACCTTGAGCCTGCCAAGTGCCAAGCCGGTCTTTGCTGAGACTGATGGTGATACAGAAACTCCACAAGGCTGTGACAGCATCACGGTGGCATAGGGACAGGCTCAAGAGATACTGCCAGCCCCTTTAACCCACCACCTGGAACCTGATCCTTAGTGCAATCTTCCGAACACTCTCATGGCACAACACGTAGAAAATGGTGGCTCAATGGTCCACAGAACCAGGCTGCTGTGACTTGGCTTTGGGCCAGGATCCCATAACCCACCCCTGGCACACCTGGAGGGATGCTTTGCCTTAGCCTCACACTCCCAAAGGGGTAGACTTTATGATCCCCTGAATTCCACGTCCTCTCCCACAGAGGTGCTCTTCCAGCTACCTCTGGGAATGTATGCCCACTGATGCCCCAGGCCCTTCTGCTGAGGGCTCCGTTTTCATCTCATCCGGTCTTCTAAGGTGTTGAAGGCAAGCAGCAGTGCCTACAGCTAAGAGAGAATTTCAAGAGCATCTCTGAGTGGCCAGGAGGACCCTCTTAGTGAGAATCCCTGCTTTGGTTGTCTCTCCCGAACAGAGCGTCTGGGGTGTAAAAATAACAGGCAAGTCCACTTAGAGACCACCTAAGTGAAGAAACTACTCCAGGGCCCTCCTCCCTTCCTCGTCCGTAACATGGGGTGATACTCATTTAGTCCACTGCCCTCAAGTGTCAATGGGGTGATGGATATGAAAGTCCTTGTCAAATTATAAAGGGCTACACAAAATAAATGGATTCTTTTGATTCTAATAAAGATGGGTATTAAAAAAATTCTATCAAAAGTAGCTCTGGCCTCCCCTGCCCCAGCCTTCCATCTGCTGGTCTTTGGGAGGCGAGATGGAGAAGTGTCTGTCTCTGTTTAGGTGTTGCTGTCACGTGGCGCAGGGCTGGTGGGAGCAGAACGTCCTTCTTGGCACCTCCTTGTCTGTGCCTCACGCTGGAGCTGGTATGCAAGCTCCACAGGCCAGAGCGGGCTGTGAAGAGAGCTGCGGGGTCGTGGGCACACATACACACCTTCCTTAACCCTGCTGCTGAAAGGACCCAGGACCGCTGACAGCTGAGCAGTGATGAGCACATCCAGTGCCCAAATCTTTGTTTCTAAATATCATTCCTCAATGAAAGGGCCCAGGGCTGTTGGGAGAAATGGCTGATTTTAGCACTGGGGCAGGGGGAATGCAGGATGAACCTGGAGCATACTGAAGTTTTAGTAAACAAAGAGTTGCTTTAAAAAAACAGAGAGAGAGGGTCTCCCCGGTGGTGCAGCAGTTGAGCGCTGGGCTGTGAAGCTGCCCGCAGCCTCTGCAGCGCAGGTTCTATCCCCGGCCACCGGCGAGGGTCCCACGTGGCGCACAGACCTCTCCTGCCGCCCGCTGCTCCCCTCAGCAGTGTACTGTCAGTCTGCCTGTTCTGCTCCCTGCTCTGGCTCTGGTGAATTCTCTCACCCTTCTGTGCTTCTGACTACCCAGTGCTTGTATAAATAAAATAAAAATAAATCTTTAAAAAAAAAAAAAAACAGAGCGAGAAAGCATTTCCCAGGGGAAACAGGCACTCACCTGAAAGCTTCTAAAGATGAAGGGTTAGGGGGCTGGGGGGCGGGAAAAGGAGGGCTTGGGGTAAAAATAAAGGGGTTGTAATTGTATGGGGAATATAAAAATAAAATTTAAATTAAAAAAAAGAATTCTTCAGAAGCTAAAAAAAATAAAGAATTACAGACAGTTCTATAAAAAAAAATAAAGATGAAGGGTTAAACAATTTGTGCACAAAGTAAGTAACATAGTTTCGGATAACCCACAGAGAAAATAAATACACTGAGTCCATGCAGATATTAATACATGATTGAAGATTGAAAAGATAAATAAATGGATTAGAAGGGACAGTTTTCCTTAGAGAAGAATTCCAAATGATAAGTAGACTCTTCCCTCTCCAGGAGGTGAAACTTAATCCCCCCACTGCCCTTGGGTGTGGGCAGGACCTAGTGACTGGTTTCCAAGGGATAAAGTACAGAGAACTATAGTGGAGGCATGTGGTGAGCGCAATCTTGGCCTGGCAGTGAGTGTAGACAGCAGGCACCCCCCATTTCATGTAATGAGAAGGGCATTTCACCTGCCTCCCCCACCACCCCCATCAAATGATGAGAAGAACTCAGACGAACCCAAGATTTGGGATGTTTTACAAAACACCTGACTAGTCCTCTTCAACACAGTCAAGGTCATGAAATACATGGAAGGTCTGAGAAACTGTCACAGACCAGAGGTACCTAAGGGGATGTAAGCGCTAAGCCCAATGCCGCCTCCTGGATGAGATACTGGAACAGAAACAGGACATTGGTGGGGAAAAAAAGGGTAAAATTCAAATAAAGCCTGACTAAAAAGAAACAAAAAAAGCAAACAAACAAAAACCTCTTCCCCCGGGCTGATGGGCTGTGCTTTCTCCAGGGCCACACTCTGAGTTGTTGTCTCTGGTTTTCCAGTGTCAGCCTCCTTTGACGGGAAACAGCACCTGCGGACTCTGCCCGTGGTGAACAGCGTCGGGTATGTGCTCCGCTTCCTCACCAAGCTGTGCCGGAGCCTCCTGTGTGACGACCTCTTCAGCCACCAGCCCATCCCCAGGGGCTCCAGTGCCTCGCGGGAAGCCCAGGAGAATGAAGAAGGCAGGAAGGAGTCAGGTAGGCCTCCCATCCCCCCTGCTGCCAAATGGTTCCAGGTGCTCCTGCTCACCCAGGGCAGCGAGGCTGTTGCCCAGGGAACCATGGCCGCTCTTGGGAGCTCTTCTGCTGGAGGCCCAGGCTGCAGTGGGGAGAGGTTGCTCCATTATAGTTTTTAGGCTTATGTCATCAGATTTTAGACAATAAGACCACGTTGCATATAATGAGTGATTTTCTTCACTTTCCTCCAACTGAGAGTCTTGAGCATTGATTCATCATTACTGAGTAGCTGAAGGACTGTTGTACTAAGGAACTAAGAAGTTCTGAAGAAACAAAAGCTAAATATATTGTTCCTGTCTAAGGTCTTCAAATGCTTACACATGTCAATAAAATGTATAAGGGGGTGTCTATTATTGCAGGGATTTGACTGGATCATAAATCAAATATGTCTTCCAGTGAGAATTAGTTTCTCTCTCATCACAGAATGACCTTTCATAGCACCAGCCCCAGAATAGCACAGCTTGGGGAGTGGCCCCTGTAAGGGCAGCGAGTCCACTTGGGCAAACCGGTCACAGTGTTGTCTGCCCCAAGGGCAAGTTGCCAATAGGAGGTGCTTTCTCCCCACTTCGCAGCCCGAGTTCTAGATTTGCAAAGAGTTAAATATGTCTCCAGGTTCTGGATGCCAGCTCCCCAAACATGAGCAGAAATGTGGTCTTTTTCTTTTTCTGGAAGGGTGTTGTTCATATATAAAGTGCACTGACAGTGAAACTGGACTCGAGTTATTATGTCATTCTGCAAGCATTTGCTGAACCCTCCTCTGTACCAAGCACCCTGTCAGAACTTGTCTTGGGAGAAGACAAATACATGAACTTAGAGAATTTTCTGAGGAATGGAGTGACTGATGAATAATGGACACAGTTGCAGCTGCTGTAGTGTTCACAGACAGACTGACAGCACTCAACAGAAGACATGCACACATAAGAGTGGCCAGATCTTAACCGAGAACAGGGAAGGATAAACTCAGATTTTCTCAGATACTGTCAAGAACCTATTCTATAATTTTACTTCAATCTCTCTGAGACCTGGGAACCAGGAGGAAATCTGGCCTTTCCAGAGGAAGGCACCTGAATAAGTACAGTTAGTGTAGGCAGACACTGTGCACTCCTGTGCTTTTCCTGATCTGTGCACGTGTGAGCTGGAGAAGTCTTCCCAGCCCTCTGGGTCTCAGTTTCCTATGTTAAGGGAGGAGGTGGATTTGCTTATAGCAAAGGTTCATCCTGTGTCTGGCAGCCTTGACCTCTGGCCTCTTCTGCAAACCTTGGTGGACTCAGAAACATATTCTAAAACCAATGTATCATCTAGTGACTCCTGCAACGAGATTGGCTGGCTTGAGAATGGCAGCGTTTTCAAACCCTTGAATCATTGCTGCGTTGAATAAGCCATGCCCCATGGGACATAATCGCAAAGCCACATCATGCATGCCTTCCGTGCTTCACATCTATCCTGTGAGATGACTTCTTTCCTGCTCATGGATGAAATTTAGGACAAGTCTTGTGACTTTTCTGGCTCCTTTCAGGTAACATAGCATTCTCTAGCCAATAATTAATACGTTCAGGTCAGTGTGATAATCAAACTTTAAATTCCACTCAAAGTATGACTGTTTCCCACTTGTAACTCAGGCCTGCTGCTGCAGCAGGAAAGGGGCGCAGAGTTGATTCTCTCCACCCTACTCTCCAACCTTGTGTCTTGGGCCAGGCTCTTATCCTGCTAACATCCTTCACAATCAGAGTGGGGGAAGGGGGAAGGTGAGAGAGCTTTCACATGACCAATACCACTGTGACTTGGCATCATGTCCCCAGGTTCAGGCAGGTATTTATAAAGAGCCACTTCTCATTCTGCGGGTTCCATCATGGGGCCTTTGGTCATCCTACCCTCTCCCACCTGCACTCCACTTAACATAGACAAATGTAACTGTTCGCTGGCTGGTCACTTACAATTCCTTTCACAGTCTCAAGGCATCTGAAGGTAAATCTCTAGCTTCTTTCTGAAGAGGTGCCACAGGACAGATAGTCCTGAGGAAGGTATCTAAGGCAATCTCACTTCAGATTGCTCTTCTGATGCCCACGTTTGGTCCCTGAGAAACACTCACAGTCCTTTGCCCAAACAGTTCTGGACATGCATGCCAATCCCTGTAGACAGCAGTCCCCTGTTCTGCCATCAGAGCAGGCAGATTTTTAGATTTCTCATGGGAATTCACTGTGCTGCTCAAGCTCCACAGGCAACAGCAGCTCTTCACCTAGGTACGTGGAAGCCCCTGGGAGCACACTGGACGGTTCTCTCTTTAAGCCATCTTCAAGTTCACCTGTTTCTTAACCTCTTCAATGTCTCTTGCAGACTGGATGGGCGTGGTCATGTGTGGGTGTAAACCTGGTTTCCATCATGTCTTTTTTGCAAGACCTGTTCATTTCACTGCTGTGTGATATCGATTATCTTGCAACCTCAGCCAAAACTGAAACTAAAATAGTTTTGTTTTTGACATCCTGTCCCTGTCCCTCTGCAGCTTTCCTTAAGTGATCATTGAGGAAACTTGGTTTTCACTTTATTGACTTCCCTTCATGCTGAATGAAGTGCCAGTCTTTTCCTGGAAGGTCATTCCTGGAGTGAGGTGCCCGCCTCCCTTCTTCCCTTGACTGAGGCTCTTTTCTTCACCTGAAGCTTGGTTTCCTTCTTAGCTGGCTTGACAGGCTTGGAAGGGATGACTTCAATTATTTCCATGATCCCTTCTCTAGCCATGGATGCTGTGAAAAAACAAGTTGTTCCAAATCCACCAGCCTCAGAAATTTCTCCTCAGGCCTGGGTTTTGCAGAACTGAGTGTTGTGCATTTCACATGTCCCAGAGCTTCAGCGGGGAGCGTGATGTGCTCTGAGTGGTCCCGTGACCGCAGGTCTCTCCCTCCAGGCTAATGTGGGACCTGAAATGACACCACCAGAGAGCCTGCTCTAGAGTGACGGTGCTTCATAGGATTGCTTGGTCAAAGTTCCCTTACAGAATAACATAACAAATTATTGATACTTTAGATGAGGAACTGGTTTGTCATCTGTCACAGTCTTTCTCACTATTGTGTCAAGAAACACATGTGCCTTTTTGTGATGGAGGGATGGGTGAGGTCTTCCTGATTTCAGGCCCCATCTCCATGTGCACCATGTATCTCCTAAACAAGATAGTGTGGTTGTGATTTCCAGAGGACATTGAATCAGATGTTAAGAAAATTGAAAGCTACAACACATAAGGAACTGTCAAATGAACTGTGTCGTTTGTGGTAGAAAGTTGGAAGATTTGGGGAAGACATGATTTCCTGTTCCATGATATGACAGCAGGTTGTATGGCTTTGTTCTCTGTGGTCTGAAAGTAGATTCAATTAAACCCAAAGTCTTGCCATTCAAATTCTGGTCAGGTCTGGCCATCACCCGAGAAAGGCAAAAACAGAGCAACCCTCCCAGGCTTTCTAACCACAGGTCCCTGGTGTTTTGAAGACACATCAAAGTTTAAGAAGAAACCATTATGCCTAAGTGGAGAACTTGACAGTTGAATAACCAGTTGGAAGGTAGCACCCTCCGGAATCCAGTGCAGCTGACATTGTAAAGAACTTTGCAAAATCAAAGCCATTCAGGAGTGGAAGGGGCTGGCTGCTTGGTAGTGACAACCCCCCCCCCCATTGTTAATGACAAGTAAATGCAGCTGCCCACTTGTTAGCACCATTGGGGGAGCTCTGGCAACCCAGAGGGGTTGGAACAAGATGTTCTCTCTGGCCCCTTCAGGGTTGAGCCATGGCTGGGGTGGCCAAGGACCACCCAGGGCAGAGGAGCACAGGGTGCCCTGGGATCTTCAGCTGGGGGCCTCCCATAGTGAAGGTGAGGGCACCAAGACAGAGGAGCTCACATCTGAGCAGAGAAGTGGCTCCTTCCAAGTCTCTTCCTCAGACCTTTGGAAACTCTCTGCAAATGATTTTCCTCTTTGTGCAGGGAAAACCAGTCTTCAGACCTACCCAACTGCCTGAATTTAGTATGGAAGGTAGAGTTCTTGGCTCCAGTTCAAGATCTCAAGTCATTTTCTCCAGTTCTCTTTACTGCCTCCACAACCCTGTATTCTGTTTTAGCAAGTAGAGCAGCTCTCTGGATCCTAAGGAGACTGATGCACAGGCATGGATTTGATGACTTGTGGTTCTGTCAGAAGATGATATGGGGAAACATTACCATAGCTTTGACTGTTGAAAAAAAATCTCAGTTGCAAATAAGCTTTAGCCACCACTTCTCAAACGTTCATGTCTTCAGGAACCACCTGGGCATCTTGTTTAAAATATAGATTCTGGCTCAGTAGGGCTGGGAGGGGGCCCAGGAGTCTGCATTTCTAACAGGCGCCTAAGTGACATCAGTGCTGCTGGTTGGGGACTGCACTCTGAGAGTAAATGATGGCTGGCAGAGACCTGCTCGCACAGGTTTCCAGGAAAACAAGTGGGTCTGTGCTAAGACTTTGCCTGCCCTGTCTAAATGTTGTCTCTGAAGATGATCCAATGTCCCACAAGGTGTCGAGGTGCTACAGAAGCAGAGAAGGGGTGAGGGGCCATACCTGGAAAGACAAATAAGAAAGAGGAGGTTTGAGGGCTGGAGAGATGGTAAAGGAGAGATGGCAGGCTAATGTCTCACTGTGAACGGGTCATCCCTGCAGCAGGGTCTCTGCTAGCCTTTAAGCTTCCCTGAACCCCTAGAAGATGCCAATCTGTCCCCCCAGGCCCTTGTTTGCACTTCTCTAATGACATTGGGTTCTGCCTTATTTTGCTGGCCTCTGGGTCCAGATCTAATCTCCCCTGCTAGAGAGGGGCAAGGCTGTGCAGTGCCCTGTAGAGACCGAAACACAATGAGTCAGCAGTAAATATTTACTGACTTGAATTCTGAGCACCAGGACAGAACAAATTGTCTTTTCACTAAGACAAGGGGAGATCTTTGGAAACCACAAATGTGAT